TGAAAGAGCTCCATATATTTTTATAATTATTTTAATAATTCTTTTTAAAAATTATTTTGCAGCAAGAGCAGAGTAGATTAATTATCATAATTAGATTAATATCTAATTATTATTAGTGGGCGTATTTGTAAATAAAGGGCGTAGACACTTACTGCCAAGCTAGAAGGTCAACTTGAAAGGATGACATCTAAATACACTCATAATAGGTAGGCAAAGCTTCAAAGCATAGATTTTGCAAGTTTTCATGTACTGTGTATGCTTACATCAATTGTAGGGACACAGCTAAATCCAGCGATGAAATATCTGGTGACAGTGTAGCTCTCTCTTCTACCAGTCAGGCGGGGCCTGACTATGTCAGTCCATCTTATGAGGCAGAAGAGATCAGTACTGCTGACAATGATATTAAACCTAAATTTGTTCCTGGAGGCTTTGGTTTATACCAACAAAAAAGTGACTTTGCTGTTACTCTTGATGATATTCCTGTTACACTTGATGTTACACTTGTCGTCAGGCCACTTGGTAATTTCTGATTTAATAAGGTTTTAAAGTTGCTTAAAAATTTAACACATTACCAGCTACATGTACGTGTATAATTATGATCTACTATATAGCAGAAAAATTTCACAGATCCGTTCAAAAATTAATTTCATGGCTTTAATTTTTGTGGTTTTCTACCTTTCAGCTGTATTGAATCAATTTTCGCAGATTTTATTTTCGTGAATTTTGAAGAAATGCAAACTCCACGAAAATTTTGGGTCACAAAAATTTTCCGCTATACGGTACGTGATATTTATCAAAAATTTTGGTGAGAGTTTATTATTTTTATATTTTCAAATACATAAATTATTATAAACGTTCTTGTATGCTGTATCAAAATTTAAGCTTATTCCAACCAAAATTGTTTTTATGATTGCTATAAAATAGGCCAAAGCCCCTGTAACTATTATAAGGGTCTTTGGGCGAATTTTGTCAAATATGACTAGGAAAGAATTCTTAATTTTATATTTTTTGTGATGCATATACATGTGTACATGTGTTATGTTGTGTAGCAAGTTTGAATTTTTTCTGATTGAAATTTTGATTTTTTTTACAAATTTTTAAAGTTGCTCCAAAATCCAGTCGAAGTCCCTTGGTCAAATTTTGCCAAAATTGCCAGGAAAAAAAATCTCCATTTTAATAGTTTTTCTGATATATATATATATATATACAAGTACAATGTAGATGCTCTTAGATTGTGTAGCTGATTCCAATCAATATTTGTTTTTTTATGAATATTTAAAGTTGCTCCAAAAGCTATGTATTGTATTGTAGTGCTCATCAACTCATAATGCATGCTTTTTAACTCACTAAGCATTCTTTGTGGGGAGCCCTGCATTTCCCTCTAGTTTCACTTCTTAGTTTAACTCAATTTTTATTTTAGACGATAAGATTTCGTATGATGTTTTTTGGGATATCATTCTCAAGCAAAAAGTTCCAGTGACGACAAGTCTTGTTGCAGTCATGGGTTTGCCTAGCTCTGGAAAGACGGCAGTTTTGGAATCCATTCTGAGGCAAAAAGTAAAAGTGAAAGATGGAGCAAAAATTGATCATTACCTTCGAAGAAAGAAAAATGAGCAGTGTTTGTCAATATATGAGCTGTGTGCTCTTGGCAGTTCACGACATGACAAGTACGCCTGGTCCTTTGCCACCAATCGCTATGGGGCAATTTTTTCTATTCTTTGTGGTCTCATTCGTCTATACCCAATCATATCAAGCGTTGAGTTTGAACTCAGAGATCAAAAGCCAGAATCTGTCATTGAAGAGCACGTTCAATGGTTGATGGGTAATATTCAAGATTTACTTGAGAAAATTAAAGATGAGTCAGGCAAGCTGACCCTCATTCAAGATGGCGTTTCTCTCATTAACGTAATGGATGTTGGCGTCAACAAAGCTCTTTACGACTTTTTATCTATGATGCTGCTCTCTTGTGACAGACACATTCGTCTAGCTTTCTTTTCATTGAATAGAGATGGACCTAAACTTCATGAGAAACCTGACCTACCATCTCGACGTTATGGAGATAGAAAAGATGACATATTAGTTATGCAGCCAAGGTCACGACTCACATATCTCCTCCACTTTGCTACAGTTGGTTATACTAATAAAGACCAGCTTGAAAAAGAAACAGAGAATGCTACTGTTATGATTGCAACAAAGACAAGGCCAAAAGGCTCACCTGCAGGAAACACACCTTCATTAGATCAAGCCAAGAAGGAAATAATTGAACAAGCAAGATTGAGAAATGTAGACCATTTTCTAAAGAACTGGATAGTAATTGATATTGATGACGAGAAATCCATTACAAAAGAATTTGGGCAGAGGATGGAAGACATCCTTAAAAATAAATATGATCAGCTCACGATACAGCTTCCCCTTCGATGGATATTTTTGAGGAGTCTTGTAGTGTCACTGGACAGTACTGAAACAAAGGCAATCATCCTGTCAAAGAAATATATCATAGAAACGGCAGACAAGCTGAAGATGAAAGAGGATGAAGTTGAAAATTTTCTAAAAACATTCACTGACTTTGGCAGCATCCTCTACATGCCTCAGTATGACGATATTAAAGATATTGTCATTGTCAATATTTGGGAGTTCACTCAGTACCTAAACAAGCTTTATTATCCTCAGGAAGGAGAGCCGTATGCTACCAATCTGTTGAAGTATGGAATCATATCAGAGTCATCTGTCAAAAAGATTTTTTTCAAGCATCCTAAGAATGCTGAAGATTTTATGACAGTTCTTACAACATTTGCAATGGCCTCTAAAATCAAAAGTGGTCAGTCTATCCTCATTGACCAGAAGCCACTTCAGCCTGAAGTGCACTATTATTTACCATTAGCAAGAATTTGTGAAGTATACAAACCATCAGAAGAGGAGAATGATTATGCTTTCATTGAGATAGAGAGTGTCAACTTCCCAGCCAATGTACAAGCTTGCATTAGCAATTCCATTTTGAAGAATAAAGATGCTGTTCTTATTGCCACAGAACACAATAACATTTCACGATTTCAATTCCAATCTGAGAGTGGTCCTCCTGTTAAGATAGAGATGATATACAAAGGAAGCAAAACAAGATTAAGAATAATGAACAGCTCCAATGACATACTCACATCTCCAGCAACAGTTGAAGCATGCAAAAAAGTAATCACTGGTTCCTGTAGATGTCTCCAAAGAAAAATTAATGTAATACGTGACCTCAAATACAGTTTTGCTGTTCCCTGTGCATCTCCTGAAGGTGGATGTCATTTTCTCTATAATGATTGTGAGCCTCAGCTCTGTGATGCTTGTTCAACTGAAAATAATTTTAGATTATGCTGGAGCAAAGCAGCAAAACAGGTATAATGATAGCATAATAATGATACTAAAGAACAAGTTTATTTACAATAAAATGATATCTATCAACTATAGTTGTGTATTTATTGTTGTCTATTTTGTTTCATGTAGTGTGACTTGTTAAGCGAAGGCAGTGGAGCAAGAACGAGTGAAAGTAAGACAAGTGTTAACTCAGTTACAGCTCATTGATATTATAATTATTTTTCAGATAATCTACTGAACTTTCAAGATATTTCTGGAATTATTACAGGCAAATATAAATTTGATGCCTTTAAAAAAGCACTGAACATTGATGAAAGTAAATTCCCTGATTTGAGTAATCCAGAAGATAGTGAGGATAGTAAAAAGAAGGCAATGATGTTGATGCTGCTATTGTGGGAAAAACAAACTGACAAGCATACTAGGCACGCTCTGATAGATAGATTAAAGGAGAATGGGTGTGATGATATGGCTGAGAAACTTAAAAACACTAGTATAGCATATTAGTCTAAATTGCTGTTAGCATTGGCTTTATTTTACATTATTTTTTAGCTGCATTTAAAATTTTAAATATTACTATTTTCCATTGTTGGGCGTGGCTTATAAAATTTAATTTTGTGTCGTTTTGGTTTTGACAAGAACATAACACTTAGAACAGGCGCATTCCAGAAATGTTTTGACTTTGTCCGAGCTTTTCATTTGCCCTCCCTGAAAGAGAAGGTTCTGCCTTAAGAGGGTGATCATGGATGTGGATTACCTAACAAATGCAGAGCCGGTCGCCGTTGGTGCTACTGCTGATGAAGGTGGGCCGTCTGCAATTGTCACAGGCGATTTGGGGGATTACAATAGAGGATATGCGTGCTAAGTATATTCATAGCTTTTTAGTACCGTATATCCAACCCACACAGTAAATTGGCCGCCATGTTGGACGTCAAGTTTATTAAGAGTTCAATGGGGGAAAACACATTTTCTTGCCTTGCTACCTTCTTGAGGCCTTTTTCGGAAGCTTAGAAAGCATCCTGAGGATCTAATGGGGTCTAGTAGTCACCTGAAAGATTGCTATCAAGAAATACAGAGCGGTTTCCTGGTACCAAGCCTTTTTCTATCATTTCTCCATTGCTGCCAATGGAAAGTTGACGTCCAACGAACTAATTTTTTTTGTTGAAAGTTATTACGGTATGCAATGAATATAATTATTTTGCAATGAATATACTTAGCACGCATATCCTCTATTATCAAGAACTAAGTGATTTTGATGTTAAAGGTGATGATATACCTGCTGATCTTGTCGTGAAACCATACAGTAAGTTTATCCAAATAGTAACTTCACTACTGAATTCTTAAACTATTATAGAGGAGAAGATTTGTCATGACTCAAAGTTTTGGGATATCATTCTACATGAAAAGGTCCCAGTTGTAACAAGTCTTATAGCAGTCATGGGTTTGCCTAACTGTGGAAAGACAAAAGTTTTGGAATCGGTTCTCAAACAAAAAATAGAATTAAAGGATGGGGCAGAATTAGGGATTCATTATTATTTAAACAGAAAGAGAGACGAGAATTGTCTGTCAATATATGATTTATGTGCCCTTGGCAGCTCACAGCACAATAAATATGCCTGGTCATTTGCTACCAATCGTCATGGGGCAATTTATTCAATTCTTTGCAGGCTCATTTGTCTAACCCCATGTGTAGCAGACATAGAATTTGAAGTTACTAATCAAGCACCAAAATCTGTCATGGATAGGCATGTTCGATGGCTAATGAGGAAAACCAAAAGTTTACTTCAGAATATTAAAGATGAGCCTGGCAAGCTGGCCCTGATTCAAGATGGAGTTTCTCTTATTAACGTAATTGATGTTGGTGTCAATAAAGCTCTTTACGAATTCTTATCAATTATGTTACTGTCTTGTCACAGACACATTCGTCTAGCTTTCTTTTCTCTGAATAGAGATGCACCTAATCTTCAAGAAAGACCCGACTTACCTTCTGATTGTTATGGGAAGAGAAAAGATGATGTATTAGTTATGCAGCACAGGTCACGACTTACATATCTCCTTCATTTTGCTACAGTTGGTTACACTCAGCAGCAGTGGCATGGAGAAGAAGTGCAAAATGCCACAGTTATGATTGCAACAACAACAGATTCTACAAATGATTCTTCATCAGATCAAGCCAAGGACAAAATCATTCAAGAAGCACAATCACGGGGTGTAGACCAGTTCTTAAAAAAATGGTTACAAGTTGATGTTAATGCCAGTCACTCTGTAGCAGAATTCAGAAAAAAGATAGAAGACCTAGTAGAACATAAGTACAAGCAGCGTATGATGTGGTTCCCTCTCAAATGGATAGTCCTGAGGAGTCTAGTGGTATCGCTTGACAGTAGGGGAATGAATGTTATGATTCTACCAAGGAGCTTCATTATACATAAAGCAAAAGAGCTTAAGATGACAGAGAAAGAGGTTGATGAATTTTTAAAAGCATTCACAGATTTTGGCAGCATTCTTTACATGCCTCAGTATGATGATATTAAAGATATTGTCATTGTCAATATTTGGGAGTTCACTCAGTACCTAAACAAACTTTATTATCCTCAGGAAGGAGAACCGTATGCTCCAAATTTGCTAAAGTACGGAATCGTATCAGAATCATTTGTAAAAAGAATCTTTTGCAAGCATCCTGAGAGTGCTGAAGATTTTTTGACAATTCTTACAACAATTGCAATGGCCTCTAAAATCAAAAGTGGTTTGTTTATTCTCATCAACAACCAGAAGCAAAATAATGAGGTACACTATTATTTACTGTTAGCAAGAATCCATGCAGAATATACACCATCAGAAGAGGAGAATGATTATGCTTTCATTGAGATAAAGAGTGTCAACTTCCCAGCCAATGTACAAGCTGGCATTAGCAATGCCATTATGGATAATAATGATGATGCTGTTCTTATTGCCACAGAATATAGCAATGTCTCATGATTTTTATTCCAATCTGAGAGTGGTCCTCCTATTACAATAGAGATGGTATATAAAGGAAGCAAAACAAGGTTAAGAATAATGAACAGCTTTAATGACACATCTCCAGCAACCATAGTTGAAGCATGTTACAAAGTAATCACTGCTTCGTGTCGATGTCTTCAAAAAAAATTAATACAATACGAGACCTCAAATATAGTTTTGCTGTTCCCTGCTGTAAATCTCCTGATGATAAATGTCACTATCTATTTTATGAGCATGACCCTGAATTCTGTGATGCCTGTCCTACTGAGAATAATTTTAGATTATACTGGAGTTTGGCATCAAAACAGGTCAGTAGAATTACATAAATGTAATTGTAAGTTGTAATAAAAGTGTTGTATTAAATGTTTATTTTTTTGCAGTGTGAATTGCTAGGGAAAGATAGTGAAGCAAGAATGGATAGAGGTAAGTTTTAATTCAATTACTGCACAATATGTAATATTATAACTGCATGATTTTTACTTTTTAGATAATCTACTGAAATCCCAGGATATTTCTAGTCTTATTACAGATGATTATGATTTTAATGCCTTAAGAAGAGCTCTGAACATTGTGGATGATAGCGGTCTATTGCCTGAAGTGAGTAGTTCAGAGGGCAAAAAGAAGGCCTTGATGTTGATGCTGCTGTTGTGGGAAAAACAAACAGACCAGTCTACTAAACATGCCCTCTTGAATTTACTGAGGACAGATGGGTGCTATAGTATTGCTAAGAAACTTGAAATGCTCATCACCGAACTTAATTAAAATTAATAGAATTGCACATACACTCACTAAATCTAGTTTTTTAAAAAATTTTTTAGATCATTCTTTTAATGCATTATACTCAACCTTAGAATTTGCTTGCAATTATTATTCTTTGCAACTACATAGTGAGCAGGGTAATTGCAAATGTTGAATCAGTTTTATATGCCAATCCTGCATGACTAAGACCTGATCATGTTATATGACATGACTTCATATATCGTGTAGAAAATCATTGAGCTGATTCCGACCAAGATTATATTTTTTACAAGTTGCTCAAAAAAATCTGGCCAAAGACCCTTACTAGACATTGGCCGAAAATTTGTTTTAAAATGATTAAGACAGATTTCTTTATTTTTATTACATTTTGTGATGTATACACATGTACTTGTGTTGTGTGGAAAGTTTTGACTTAATTTTGACTGAGATTAGAATTCTTGTGAATTTTTAATTTGCTCAAAATTGTGCCAACGACTCTGTACAATAGACATTGGCAAAATTTTGTCGCAAATGACTAGGTGAGAATTCTCAATTTTTATTCATTGATGCATATACATATATTTATGTTGTGTAGAATGTTTGAGCTGATTCTGATCACACAATTGGATTTTTTTATTTTAAAGTTACTAAAAAAGGGTCAAAATATCTATGCTACAGTACAAGGCTGTTGGCCAAATTTTATCAGAAAGGGCTATAAGAAAATTCTCTAGTATTTTCATTCTTTTCTGATGTTGTTTATCAGGTTTGAGCTAATTACGATCAAAATTAGATTTCTATGAATGATTTTTAAAGTTGCTCAAAAAATCTGGCCTGAGACTGTGTACAATTATGTACATGCATGTATACTATAATAGTTCACAGAAAATTCAGTCAAATTTTGTCAGTAAATAGCTGGGAGAAATTTTTTACTTTTATAATTGTTTCAACCAGATTCTATCCATGAAGGATTTTCAGAAATTCTTGCCCTGGGGATTTTAGGAAATTTTTAAGGCTACCGGGTGGTGGAGTTAGTTAGCGGACAGGTGAGGCAGTCTCCGGACAGTGCGGACAGAAATCGACCTTGTAATGGATCCAACGTCTTTGTTGAGGTAACTGAGTAATAAAATAAATAGCAATGATAGTAAGGATGAAATAATGATGTTTTTAGACTAGATAAGTGTATAAATGCATGAAATGTAACTGTACTGTTTAAAATGGGGTGTGTCCGCCTTAGTCCACAAAACCAGGTTTTGCACATCCAGCAAATAAAATCAGTCATCATCCTTTTTCATTCCTCTACAAGCTTTGAAGTGGTTGGGGGTACATAGGCTTATCTCTGGGTTTCTCCTTAAAATACATGCCACCATTCTTTTTTTCAGGAATATTGATGGAAATTGTTGGGCCTTTTGTCCGAGGCAGCAAGGCTGTCTGATAACCTATTTTAATTATTTTGATAATCCACTATACTAATTCATTCTTTTCTTGTATAGATGATGGACCAAGCCTTGCTGAAACTTGCTTAATTTTGAAGCTGGAGTGGTCATGCATGTATTGGTGGAGCTCTTTGGTATTGAGTATTTTCTCTAGCAGTACCAGAGAATTTTCATCTCAAACTGTCTCTATAGCCTTTTCCAAGTCTTCAGTCTTCCATAATTCCATTTCCCCCTTGTGTTTGCTGTTACTGTGTATTATTATCACTGTCCGGTAACTGCCTCTGTCACCAAGGTGTATTTGCTCTTAAATAACTCTTACTACATTATTTATATATTGTTTTACATAATTTCATCAAATCGTGTAATTAATTTCCTTTGTATTGATATATGATGTTGGCATATTCAAAACTTTCAGTCTGCAGTTTCAAGCTGTTGAAATTTTTTGTATTTTAAGAGACATTTGAATATTTGGACTTAGCAATCGACCATAATCATTTGCAGTCAAATATAACATAGAATAGCTATTGCAAACTTGCTGAAATTGGTTATAGCTATTGCAGATGGAGAGCTCTACCCCTCAGAAAAAAAATTAAGTTTCTACTCAAATGTTTAAAATTTTTATGGGTACTTTGAACTTAAGTGTCCGTATACTACCGCTGTCCGTAAACTACCTACGTTACTCTATTTGTAAATAATGGGCGTAGCCGTAAGGCAAGACTAGACTTGAAAGGATCAGGATGACATCCAAAAACACTCATAACAGGTTAGGCAAAACTTCAAAGCAGTGAGTTTCCAAGCCTGTTCATGTACTGCCTATGCTTATATCTTTTTGTAGAGACACAGCTAAATCCATCGACGAAATGTCTGGTGACGGTCCACTCTATCTTACGGAACCAGAAGAGATCAGTACTCCTGACAATGATCATAGTAGTAAACCTGAATTTGTTCCTGGGGGCTTTGGTTCATACCAACAAAAAAGTGACTTTGCTGGTACTCTTGATGATATTCCCGTTACACTGGAGGTTAAACTTGTAAGGCCACTTGGTAGGTTCTGATTTTAAAAGTTTTTAAAGTTGCTCAAAATTTATCAAAGTACCAGCTACATTACCGTGTAGCGGGTTTATTTCAAGGATAACAAATTTTGCAGATTTTTTCAAGATTCGCGAAATTAAATTCCTTGAAAATCAATTTAATACGGCACAAGATGGCAGAATAGTGAAAATTTGCAAAAATTGAATTCCTCAAACTTCCGGATACGGATCATTCGCAAAATTTATTATTTTCGATAAAACCCTCTATACGGTATCTGACTAAAGCTACTCCCCTGGTTTGCAGAATGCAGTACAAACGAATGGAAGAAAAGCATAAAAAGCACAAATGCGCAGTTCTTACATTTATGCTGCTGCTACTCCTGCTATATATAGACACCTATGAATCAGTGAGGAGCCTCTTTGCTGCTTTAAACATTCAACTTCATTCCTTCTTATTTTTGGACTTTTTTCCTCCATCTCCATTCCTTCGATCATATAGATATACTACCCGTAAACAGGATTGGAAACTTCAATGGTAATAATTGCAAGGAGGGTTGGGGCGTATCCTCACCAAATCTGATGAAATCTTAGCAAAAGCATTGGCTCTATGGCGAAACTTTCTGGGACTCTAGCAGCTGTATTTCAGAATGAAGCAAGCAAATTTTTGCTTACCTTAAGGAGACAATTCCTTCAGCTCACATAATTCATTACCCTCTGATTTACACTTTTTTTATTCCGTGCTGTAAAGTTTATTAATAATAATAATAATAATAATAACAATAATAATAATAATAATAATAATAATAATAATAATATTTTAGCAATTTTCATGGTACTGACATTTGGCTGGTACTTAATTTAGCGTTTTTGATCATTTGGTATTAATAACTACTAAAGAATGTAAAACATTTGGGGCGAGCCTAAGCAAGTGTGCTGTGATCTACATGTATGAGCAAGCAAAGCAATTGTACAAGTCTAAATACAGTAGATCTTGTTGCATTAATCTTGCTTAAATTGCTTCTGCAAGCTTTCACTGACTCTGCTCCAAAAATGTAAAGTTATCTTGCTTACAATTAGAAGCAGTCAATGAACAAAGAAGATTGTCATCTGCTTTGTCTAAGCCTTTGGACAGCAGTTTAGTCTTATCTTGCTGACCGTTTGCTGCACAAATAGCTCAGAGTTGCTGACAGCTGCCATTTTATTCATTGTGACCACACCCGCTTTCAATGAAGTTATTAATGTTAGCACGGACTTAAATTAGCGATTTTTTTAAAATCGCTAAAATTCACTAAATTAAATACCCGCAAACAATTGTCTCCTTAAGGTATATAAATTTGTAGATGCTTCTTAAGAGCCTTCAGTACAACATAACATTTATTTAAGGTAATACTCACTAGTAAGAGCTTTTTAGGGTATTTGAATTTTTGCCAGAATGCTCGGGATTCCATTACTCACAAAATACACAACACAGACTAAAATGAACATCACGGTGCACTGAAGGCTCTTAAGAAGAGTCTATAGAAGTAAAACTCGGCTGTTTCATTCTAAAATGCAGTAGCTAGAGTCCCACAAAGGTTCACTGTTGGTATACTAAGAGTGGTCCCAACCAGCCTGGTACCCATGGGTGATGACGGTAGTTTCCGATCCCGTTTACAGGTAGTATATTTATGCTTCGATGTAGCTTTCTGCTAACCAAGGGGTGTGGTACTTGTGTGGGTGAAGATTTCTACGCCTACATTTAATCATGATTTAATGGTATTCATACTTTACTTCAAAGGAAGTGTGAACTAACACGCAGGTTATGTATATTATACTGGGTATTTTTCAATTTTGAAGAGAATTTCTCATTTTTATATTTTAAAAATACATAATTAGACATGTTCTTTGTAATGTATTAAGATTGTATGATATGTGTGTTTATTATTATTGTAATGTATAGGTGTTGATTAGTAGGTGTGTTTGTTTGCATTCTTTTGTATGAAATTTTACTTCCTGTCTGTCCTTATTAAAAACTCTGATTTGTGTTTTGAAAAGATAGATTTTGTGCATAGTAAAGAATTAAGTGGTATTGTCTGCTCAAGTCTTGGATATATCACATTCTTGTGCTGTATGAAAATTTTAACCTGATTCCAACCAAAAAATTTTACAAAATTTTTAAGCTGCTCTAAAACAGGGCCAAAATCCCTGTATAATAGTACAGAGTTTTTGACCAAATTTTGTCAAAATAGTACAGATTTTTTAATCAAATTTTGTCAAAAATGAATTAAAAAATTTTTAATAATTTTTGTTGTGTAGCAAATTTGAGCTGATTCGATTGAAATTAGATTTGTATGAATTTTTAAAGTTGCTATACGGGGTATTGACCAAATTTCATCAAAAACGACAAGGAGAGAATACTTCATTCTTAAAATTTTTTTACTTATACATGCTCTTGTGTTTGAAGTTTTGTTTTAACAATACACCTTGAACACCATTTTAATTTCCATAGATGCCTATCAAAATTCTATCGTGTTTTCATTCATTTCAATGTAAACAGAAGCATAAAACAGGCTCAAAACTATACAGATTGCATCGGTTTCATTGCTGTGTAAAAATAGCCTACTAAAACTGGCATCTATAAAATTTGTAAACATCAGGC